AGCAGTTGCAGTGCCACTCAGATCTTTAAATTGCAAAGATCTGACGAAAATTGCCACCGCGCCCGTCACCCTGAGGTATAAATTGACACGCCCCATGTGCCTGTAATTTCACCAGCATCCTTACCCTTTAAACACGGGACACAGTAATGATCACATTACTGCTTGGCGACCGAAATAGGTAAAAAAAAATAATTAAAAAGACATGGGTACGAGTGTAGGTTTCACAGTAGGTACAAAATGATGTCCATACTCTTAGTTAATAGCTTTAGAAACTGTTCACATAGTTACGTGTGCGATTATCTACTAATAAAAAGACAATAATTTCTTTACAATCGTAGAAGCATCAAATTTTATTTTATGAACATAACTCCCAAATGGAATATTTTGAGCTTCGAACGTGTAATGTAATCGTAAAATTGTGAAGGGCGTAGATTACGTAGCAATGTAACGGCAAAGATGCGCAACTGACGTAAATTAATATTCTCTCTCTACAAACCCATTACATCCTTTAATTGGTAGAGCCGCGTGTCATCCAAGGTTCACGCGGCCCGCCTCGGCTCCAGCTCGTCTCCGGCACGGCAACGCCAAACGCAATGATAATTTCACTTCTGATGCTATCCAACACGAATGCATAATAATCTGGCATAAAATTGCAACAGTCGGCTATATGAGAAAGATCAAAGGCTGAGCAGCCAAACGATCATCTTCATTCAAATGCCAGGGGTCAGCGCGGTGTGACGACGGCCTGGTATGCGCCCGCGCCACCGCTACCGCTCCCATTTACGGTTACCGTTTATTGACCATTTCAATTAACATTTCGCTATATTAATATTTGTTATTAAGAAAACAACTTTCGTTATAGCGCGTATGATAATGAAGTGATGTAATCCTATTACAATAGTGTTTTTTGTATCAGTCAAAATAAATTTTAAAATATGTCTGGCAAAATTGAATTAATGCACATAAAATCCCCATAAATCGTTTATACCTGTTATAATATAAGACTCCGCCATACGTGAGTTCTGTTTGTTGCGATTGAAATTAAAACAATGTCTCGAGCCCTATAAATCAGTGTCAGGAATGGTACGCCTCGCTCACAAACCCTGCAACTGCGGCGCACTACGCGCACCTGCGCATGCGTTTCGGTGCTCTAATTTCAAGCAGAAACAAGCTGCTTCTTATGTCGATATAGGTATAAGTTAAGTCTATGTAAGACTGCCAATTAAAACGGCCGTATTGTCGTCGCGAGCATATCACGGATCAGATCGCGCCGGCGGCCCCGTCGCCCGCGCAATCACCGCGATCGAGCCTTTAGCGTTAATTGTCCGCTTATTTTTGCAGTAAATAAATCCGACGTAATTTGTAGATGCCGCCAGATCCTGTGGAGAGATAAAGCCGCGCTTTGTAATTGTGATATTGGGGCCATTTTCGCTTGGTGTTAATTAAAGATAACGAGCCAGATCTAAATAGAACACCATTTTTGGTTTACACACCCACTATTGGATGACTATACACTAGAAATACCTATCTATCAACAACTTTGCTAAATATCTATAACTAAATATAAGTGCGCCGGATTATATAGAACAAATCAGCCTTTTAATTAGATCATCATCAATAACATTATGCGTCTCATGTGTCCCGTAGGATCTCCTCTAAGAAGAAGTCTTAGGCATACACTGGCCCATTCCAGGTTAGGAGACTTCACATAGTTTCAAAGGTTAGTTTTATTTAAAAAAATAAATTATATTTTGTGCATCTCTAGCAATGAAGCCGAAACGTCAGAACATTAACAAGGAACTAAAGCTATTTGACATAGAATGACCAAACGAGACAGGGGTTAATGGAAACGTCACATCGACTGACACTCGCGAAGGCAAAAACTACCATAGCTATCAAAGTTCACTTGAGTTTATACGCGGACACTGAGAACCACAGGCTGAGAACTGTTCTTGTGCCTGGTACGGAATATTGTTATATTAGCAACATTTTATTTAAACTAGTATTTCCCAGAATCATTTTCGGCGCGTCAGTGCCTACACTTCTCTCAGAAACTAGGGTTGTTACATTCTTATTTTAATTGTACTTACATGTTGTAAGCTTAATTGGAAAAAAATAAGATGGTCACAGTATTCTCGTGCTATATTCAAATAACTTTTGTTAAATGCAGTAGGTGCTTACGTATACATATTTTTGTACTAGCATCGCGGATTAGTATCTTGATTATAGAGTATGATTATGAAATAGAAATGAAATAATTCTATGAAATAAAACTAAGCAATTCTGAATTTGAGGCACTCTATGTATGTTTTTTAGGTATGTTTTTTTTTCTTTGTATGTATGTTACGCGATAACTCCGGTATTTGTAAACCGATTTTCATGATTCTTTTTTTTGTTAGAAAGAGGGTACTTTCATAGTGGTCCCATTTCATTTTGAAGAAAATCATCCACCTCTAAGGGTGGCTGTTCACGCATGAAGATTCATTTTTATAAATAGCGCCTAAATTTTACTTAAGGATCAATTATTTTAATGGTTGATTTGCTATTTCTCCAATTCAAGGCGTTGTTCTCTCAATATACTTTGAGTAGTGAGAACCGATTTTTAATATCTCCAGTGTCAAGTCCTGTATACTGGCGAACTAGGGGATATTTCAATAAAACTTAGCAAACAGACGTAATTCCACGTACTTTTGAGGTCGGTTTTTTTAGTAGTCTGTACTGAGGTTATTAATAGCCATGTATTTTACACCTTATTAGTAAAGACGATTATTGTCAATACATAGTGTTTCACTTAGACTGGTATTATTATTTCTTTGCCTAATACCATACTACAACGTTAGACCTTAGTTTTGCAATAAATAGTACACGTATCTACATCAATTTTTACTACAAATTACAATGTCTTTTATTCATTTAGGCAACATTAAAATGTCAAGATATTTTGAAACATGCAAGAAAAGTTATTAAAATTATGTTTTTCAATGATGTCTCAAAGTTAAGCGTCAGTGTTGTAAGTTGAATGTTGCCATTATTAATAATGTGTACTTTTGTACTTAAAAAGCGGTAAAATATTATCATCTTCTCAATTTCATTTGATTACCAGTACTTAAAATGCATGTGAATATTTGTTTTGTAAACCATTAAAGCAAAATACGTATATATTACGTACAGTCTTAGTCAATTTGCAATTTCTATGTTATTAAAGATGATCGTGATCCATTTAGCGAGGTTTGCGAGTGTTGTCTCGCAGTATGCGCTGGCGCAACTGCGCTCGTTAACCCACATCGATCGGACTCGCATCCTTGCAGCAAAAAACTGTACACCCGAGAATATATGGTTTAACATCTTCATTGTAAAGTAAATTAGTTACACAGTATCTTTAACATGTTTTTCTGGACATAAAACTACGTCTTAAATATTTAGATACGAAAGTTCGTTGAAAATTGGAACATGTTAACAATAATAATAATAACGCGAGCATAGTCATAGCTCCGCACTAGGGAAACCCTGTATCGCAGGTGCCATGGACACACACATACACAACCACAAATTACACCCAAACTCACGAGTGAAATAAATGTAGACCTTACAAATATTTCTCCCGGCCCGAGAATCGAACTCGAGACCTCTACGTGACACTCCAGGATGGTAACCGTTCGGCCACGGAGGCAGTTAATGTTGCTAATGTTGTTAATGTTGCGAAAACAAAAACATTTTTAACTTGTTTTTTTATAAATTAATTTTTTTTATATAATAAAAAGTATCAAGACGAGCAAAACATGCGCCTGATGGTGAGCTACACCCCACCCATGACAGCTAGTGCTTTACATCGTAAAGATCTGAGGGGCAATGCCTTTTTGCCCGGCACTCCGAGACACAAAATTGACAAGTCCCATGCGCCTGAAGTTCACCAGCACATTTAACCTTCAAAACCAGAACGAAATATACTAACATTACTGCTTAGCGGCAGAATTAGGTATGGTGTCAATGGCAATACTGCCCTAGAAGAAGTCTTTCACAAAATTATATGTAATTATTAATTTAATTACATATACTTTTTCAATAGATAGTTTCTAAACTATTTACATAAAGTAGTAAGTTACATGTACTTAAGACGATTTCTCTTTATCGCAGGAAAGTTGTTTTACACAGTTACAAACACAAATAAAAAGGCAACACTCATCAGTTATCATCTTTATCGGTTATATTTACAGGTAAATGATATTTAGTCAAATATCGAACCCCGTATCAGCTGACGGCTGTAATCTGAGTCTGGTGTTTCGGTCCCGCGAGCTTGCTCCAATTCGTCGACGTGTCATTTAACAGACCTTTCTCATTTTACATTCATACCACGCCATTCCGCAACACAATATTATATCCACATGACATACGGATGTCTTCACTGTTGTCTTGTCGGATGTTTGGACGGCCAAAAAAAATTAAATAGACTGCAGATAGAAATGATAACGAAAGTTAAAATGATTTTAGGAAGCTCGTAATAATCGTTTAAGACCTGCGTTTTGAGTGATGGTAGACATCATTTGCTTTTATCGCAATAAAACAAGACTTTATGTTATTGGCTATTCGTAACCATTCAGCTTATTTTTAGTGTACATGATTTTGAATAACAAGACAGAGTAGACCCTATATTCATTGGCATATAGAACAAATATAATAGTATTTACGCGGCAGAAATTTGTTGCTTGTGAGCATTTGTGCGGGTGCAGCGTGACGAGCTGCGGCCAGCGACAGCGCGGCGGCGCGGGCGGCACGACGCGTGACTCGCTCGCCCTGGTTTCGTACAGGATCCATAGACACGAACGAGAGCGGAGTTCTTAATTTAAGCATTCCAATTATGTTTGTCTGCTCTGAGCAGAGCAGAGCAGGAATATTACTTAAAAACTCACTTAATATTTACCCATTTTCCACTCATTATAATATCACACTGCATAGGCATGATAAAAATAAAATATTAAACCTTTGCATTTCTTTCTTTTCAGAGGCATCAACTTCGCTTGGACGAACCATGGAAATTGTCATAGACGACGTAAACTTTGCGGCCAAGAGCTTATCGATCTGAGTACTTAAAAGGAGAAGGAGAGGGTTGGAGTGAATAATGGGAAAAAGGAACGTACGGATCAAATTCGCACACTCCATTGGTCCACCAAACGCGCTGAGCTCGATGCGTGTCTCCGAGTAGTCCCTATCCGCGCCTGCGTCACGCCTACGCTGCACCTTTATTCGCATTTTACCAGTTACCGACGCTCTAGCACTGCCAATAAAGTACAAGTCATACCGGGTTATAATTGAATTATTAAAACTTAGATTTATATTGTAGTACAAATAATCTGAAAGAGATCACGGTGGCGTTTGCTTGATGTAGCAAAAGTGAGTAGAGAAAGAGCCGAGCCGACGTCCTCGGTTGAGACATTAAAACGGTAGTCATGACGGCCACTGCCCCAGAACTGTCAAAGTCTGATTTCTTTGATTTCGTGACATCCAACGAAGTGACTGATGCTCAGTATAAGCAGCAAATGAGATCCGTCAATGTGTTCATGGAATCTCCGGACTCAAGGTCCAATCCCTTGCTCTCAGAAGAACCCAAGGAACAGAACAATAACAGCTTGCTGAGCGTGACTGGAGTGAGCGCCGGTAATCCAACCATGGCCGCCGCTGCCACCACCTCAACTACGCTGCAGAGCTTTGACTCCATCTGGAATGTAGATCGCGACCGCGACCGCTTAGAAACTGCCATGCTAGAAGATCTCAACAAATATTACTGGAACACACAAGACAACGAAATCAATGGTACGAATACTTGTACAGACACTGCCATTTCTAATAAATTGATAAGCAATAACACCGATGGACAAATTTATACACTCACTGTCCTAAATCAAGATATTAATGAGACGAGTACGAATCGTTACTGGACAAAAGAGGAGGATGTTTCTATGTCCAGTCCGACGGACATCGTTGACCAGCAGTCGTCTCTAGATCTCGAATCAATACTTAACATGAATGGTTTCCCTAACGACTTTAGTCAAGACTCTCTTAGTTCAAACATACTACCCAAAGTAGAAAACTTTAGTTATGATGAAGGAGATTCAGAAAGCCAAAACACTGACTTAAACTCAACTAACCTAGTAAAAGTGGAAACGTTTAGCTACGAAGACAGTGAATTTCAAGGAAGTGAAAAAAGAGAAGACCCATGTAGTCCTATCATTAGCAATCCTATTCTAGATAATCAAATTGAATTTAATAACAACAACAATGATTGGAAACTCACAGATCAGAATACGGAATCTAACGAATCATTGCTAAGAAGCGCTTTACAGGGAAAAGCTTTTATCAGATATAGCGCAATACAAAAGAATACAATAACGAAGCTTGACGCTAGTTCGGAACTAAAGAGAGTAATAATCAACAATAACAATAAAGATGTTCCAAGCATGTACCAAGACGGTAAAGAAAGCGAGGCAGAATTGTTGATGACCATAGCTCCTCCCAACGGTAATGTGAACATATCAATACTCCTCGAGGACCCAGCCAACGTGATCTCTAATGGTGAAAACCCGACATCAACACAGAGCGTTGACGATATCATATTGTCACAACTAGATGCCAACTATCACCCTGAAGATTACGAAAAACTAAAACGGATAGCAACAGAGTTGGGTGAATCAGTACAACCATATTGTACCGTGGAACCTATAGACCCCACACGCAATGTTTATAACATTCATCACGTTAACGGCGAATTAGTGACTATGATTCCCGCGGGCGAAGTACAACTGTCGCAGCACTTACAAATAGTCGCCGCCTCGCCCACCGTTACCAGCACAAAAACTGTAAGTAAGAAATATAAAAGAATTCAGAATAAGAATTCTCCACCGACAACACAAGCGCAGTCAGGCACAGCTATTCAAGCTGCGACCTCAACATCGAACGGTGTGAGGAAAGAGAGGTCCCTGCACTACTGCTCTATCTGCTCGAAAGGCTTTAAGGATAAGTACTCAGTGAACGTGCATGTGCGGACGCACACGGGCGAGAAACCTTTTTCATGCTCGCTGTGTGGCAAGAGCTTCCGGCAGAAGGCGCATCTGGCCAAACACTACCAGACACACATCGCACAGAAGAGCGCCGCTGCCAACGGTGCCGTCAAACCCAACAAGAGGTAACCGCGACGGCGCACCCAGCTCGCATGACCGGAATGTCGTCTCGGTCGCTCGTATTGATAGTCAATTGAACTGTAAAATGGTGATATATTAACAAAATATTTTTAATAAACAAATACGCAAAGGCTGAAAATATCACAGATGAATTTGGTAAGGTGCTAAATACGTAGTGATTTAACGAAGCGAAACGAACGTAAAACATAATTCTCAACACTTGTGAAAGGTTCTTTGCCGTTGTAATATTGTTATAATTTACATTTTAGCTCTGTCCGTTACCGAATACTTTTAGCACTAGTTATAGCTAAGAACAGGTACCTACGATTAAGTATTTTAGAATGAGATTATTGTAAACCATCATTTCATAAGTATTTATAGTCATAACAGCATTAGATTAATGGTGAAGTCATAGATCCACGTGTTTGTGTGTGGGTTAGTTTTGTTCCTGTTACTTCATTCATAAACTTTCTGTATAGACAGATGCAAATAACCTAACGTACAAATTATACAATAATTGTTAGTATTCTCTGTCTTCTTACACTTAGTAGCTTAACGTAACAAGCTGTCTGACAAATGGGCACCAGTGATGAGCAGCAGCGAACTTGCATCGACAGCGCATACGCCGCGCCCGCCACCGTAATTTCTCCCGCAGCGCGACCGACTAAACTTTCTAAAAAATAAAAAATAAAACAGAGCAACAGAACGAGCATTCAGTGCCTGCCATCTTTCACCGCGCTGCTATCATATTCTCTACATCAGGTTAAAGATGCGGTGTTGTTTTATTCTCCATGCCTTCACAAGAATGCCGCTCTATCGTTTTCGACAGTAGTAGTCTGTTACTCAAGTATGTACAAATACATGTGGCTAGTCGCTCGGTACCTACGTCTGCCAACTTAGTAATTTACTATTTTCTATTTTGTTTTAGTCCATGGCTCTTTCCATTTTATGAACTATAATGTTATTAAAATAATGTGCCCTCGAGAAATCTGAGTGTAATAGCCACTGGTCAGGCTTCCATAATTATTTGGCCATCCATATCGGACAACGTAGTGAGCGGTTTCTCATTTCCAATATTACATCCTTCGCCTCATACTAGGAAAGGCCTGATTGCTTCCAGATTGCTATAAATTTGAAATACAAGTGGTGTTTCAATCGCGGTCTTTAAAATTGTGCTCCCTTTCTAGTCTAACAAATTGGCCTTTCTTTGTTCAGTCCGTGTACCTGTAACACAGAGGCTCGCCTTGTTCTTATTTATAAAGATATCGTTTGAGGCAGGTGGGCCCTATCATCATCGTATCTCAGCTATAAATTCTCTTCAAGTTAAAAGAGGTATTTTCACTAATTTTCTGAAGTAAGTACATCTCTCTCACAGGTCTCTCTATCAATAGCTGATTATTAACTAATCCGCAGACTAGCTTGTACACTCGACTCATAAAAGGTACGAGTATTTATGATTTCTAGAGATTAAGCTTTCACTGACTTCAACTTTCGTATTTCAACAATTGATGTTTCAAATTATAAGATTACCTGTAACCACAAACATTATATAAAGTATTTTAAAAAGTTTTTAGAAGCCATTAGTACGTTACACAGCAGATATTTTAAAGGGAAAATTAAATTGGAATTGGTTTTGAATGATGACCGAAATAGGAAACTCGAGTCGTTTTGTAACTTAACACATTATTAGTATTAAGACGTGACCACGCATTGTGCGCAGGCGTCGAACAGGTTGTGTGCTGGCACCAGTATTTACAATCCACATACACAACATAACAACAAAATGCTTGCAATTGTCATTTTTAACAAAGTAATTTCTCTGTGACAGTGACTATAACTTGAGCGCGTTTGCATTTGCAGTTTTCAGTTTTAATTTACCTCAAAAGTCACTTGCATCTTATTTGCAAGCTACTTGTATTAAATGTAAACGCACCCTTGCCCTTGCTCAGTATCTTTTACTCAAAGCCACATAATATAACTTCCTATTAAGTAACACATCTATAGTTCCATTATATACGACAATTGAATAACGAAACTAATAACATTCTAAAGGTCAAATAATCAGGTAACGCGTTACGGCCTCCTCCTGTCATTCGTTGACTTTTAGCTTTTGATCTACAATGTCGTTTTAATAACGGCCTAGACTGTTTCGTATCAAATTATATTTTAATTAACGGTCTAATGAAAATTTTAATACAGTTATAAACAATAAAGTTCTGTGTTGTTTTATGATTAAATCTTAGCGGCAACAAAAAACGTAATCAAAATGAGAAAGTTTTCATATATTGAGATTGAAAATTTATTTACATCTTGCCAATATTAAATTTTATTTGTATCTAATTTAGATATCAAACACTGCCTTTGAATGAGACTAGAGAATATAAACACTAATTATGCATTGTTAGCTCAAGCGCTTAATTACTATTTCTTAACAAATAAATACCTATCGTCTTCTAAAGAAGTATAAGTTAATTATTTACCTAACAAAAAAAAAGCCTTTTAAAACGTAGTGAAGCACTCTAATTTCTACTGTAATAAGTATCCAATCAACAATTATTTCTCATAATTTCACGTTTTCTTGGGTTCGGACTTTTATAATTAATAGTAGTATAGAATTTCTTCTTCCGTTTCTATTGCTTTATATTTCTAATTTTATTTTTTTTATTATTAATTTCTATACATATTCCTATTTTAACCTCTAGTTGATAGAACCCGAAGAATCTCTTTTTAACAATGTTGAATACTCATTTTTGTAAATATGTTAATGAAAGAGTCTTAAATGATGGCAACAGTAGATCTCTTGACCACATTGAACAAATAAGAACTTTTAGACCTCTAACGTCATTATAGCGCTGTCTCAAAATTAGGAAACATTATAAAGGATAAAAAGGCATAACAACAAACAACGCTCTTTATACGAATTACATAAGTGGCGTTATTAGTTTTACTTTGCTTTTTGAGCTACTGTTACGCACGTACCGTTTGCCACACGACCCGTTTATTCATTTTAGCACAAATGTATCATGTTCAATGTGATCAAAAGTGTGAATAACACACGATCTTTAAATAAACTAACAATTTGCGACATTTTGTACTCTCCCACTTGTATCTCATTAGAATGGTATTTTCAAGTTAGCGAATTTATAGATTAAGTTTTAAGATACATACTTAATGAGATTTACCAATTTATTATAAGAAACTGTGGCTACCTTGATAAATTATGCGAATGAGAATTATATGATTGTTAATATATTCATTGTAATATGTTACATTATGTTGGATTATTGAGTACTTTTATATCGAAAAGAAGGATTATATTAATTAATATTGATCGATTTTTATTGCATTTGTTCCTGAGTTGATTTTAGATTTTATTGATTAATGATTACGTCTTGTTTATTAAGATTTCTATGTGTAATATTTGCATGATTAATTTAATTTAATTATAGCTGTGTAGTTTTAAGGGCAACGTGGACGATGTGACAACAAATTATAGGTATAGATTGTTATGCTCTTATATTAAAAAAATATTTGTCACTTATACAATTTTCTCCTTTCCTTTCTGAAATTTAAAACGATTTATTAGATTTTAGATTATCACAAATATGATTTGTTGCCACAGTGTGACTCCGGGTATTTCGGAGATAGTTACATGCTCCATGGTCCCGTGACCAGTTGGCTTGTAAGAAAAATTTCAGATTATTTAAATATGAAACCAAAAAATTAGCAACGAATTCTAAATAACTGTTCTCCACAGACGTTAAAAGCAATGCAATTACCTAACCACAATCATAACTGTAAAAACACAACCAAGTAAGTTACGTCACAGAGTATTTAAAAAACAAATAATGCTATGTAATGCAACTTGAACACGTATGCATATTACAAAAAGGTGCTCAAAATGTATTCACAAACAAGTAAATTTCGATTCGTCCACTTTACCCTTAAACCGAAGCCGTCCTGTACAATACTTTAATTATTTATTTTTAGTATTATTATTAAGACGACAAAAAGAAACAAAAACAAACGTATTTTGATTAACAGGAGCTGTGATTTTTGCTTAATGTATTGTCTATTGAAACGGTGTCACTAAACAACAAAATTATATTCGTGTTTTCAAAGTTGGAACGAAAAGAATAAAAAAAAACCCTGTTACATAATCCATAAGATATTGTGATTAAGGATAATAAACTTTTTGTACAACGTGGATTATTTTTCCGCTTATTCGCAGCGCGAATCAGGGGGTCGATTCAGAAACTTACGATTTGATATCGTACGATATCTTTTCATTTTTATTCACAACACCCGAATCAAACGTCAAACGGTCGTATTCGAAACCGAACTGAAATGATATCACTCCCCTGCGATTACTCGAACTTCTCGACCGGCAAAGGCTATAAACGTTGTTCAGAACACAGGTATCGAAGGAAAGTTACCGAACGTCCCTATTGTTTACAAAGCAAGAATATAATATGGAAATTTCTTATTATTTTAAATAAAGTCTGAAGTTTGTTCAATTTTAAAGACTTTAAGTCTTAAAAATTTGCCTAAAAAGATTTTCATTTTTCTTATAATCTATTTCACCGACTAAATCCGTAAACGCTGTTGAATAACGATATCGTAACCGAATTCGAATTGAACTTTTTTGATTGGCTCGGAAGGCGCCCTTCGATTCGAGAACGATATCCAATAGAACGATTCGATTAAAATATCGAAGAGTTCTGAATAGGGGTCCAGATTACAAATAGAAGACCAATTTGCAGGTGGAGTCTTCCGCTTAACTAGTTCTATATTGCATGACACTGTTTCGTATCACCGAGGTCTTCCAAGCTTGAGGTGGTTTTCATGAGATCAACTTGGCTAACTTCAAATTACACTCGTAAAATATTTTATCATTTGACCCACTGCTCTTTGCAAGTAATCTTTGAACAAATTATGCAAAATGATGTTCAGAGTAATTAGATTCTGTTGAGATTATTAATTATGACTTGCTATGAAGGCAAATTTGGAAATTTCAATATTAAATTAAGTTATTAAGTGCTTCTATAACATGGAAGTCCCCAATACTTATTGAAAGAGAGCGTGGAGGGATAAATTATTACACGTTTCTCATAAAGAATACCCGTATCAATAAGTATGATGTATATACTCAAGGACATATTTAGGGGAACGCAAAAAAATGTTTTTTTTTATAATACCAAGTGACGGGAAGAACAAGTCATGTAGCTGGTGGTTAGTGACACGCAGGTCCATAACAATTGCAGAGTCAGTTCACCCGTCACCTTGAGACATAAGTTGACAAGTCCCATGTGCCTGTAATTTCACCAGCATCCCTACCATTCAACACCGGAACGCAGTAATGCTTACATTACTGCTTGGCGGCAGAAATAGGTAAGGTGGCAGTAGATTCCTGGACAAACTCTTTCACAAGGAGCTCTACAACTAAATTATGGTCACACCGATCATAGGACACATTGACCACATGTGCCAGAACGTTTAATCGAAATCAAAAGACGATTGAAGTCATTCTCTTTTCAAAATATACCAGAAGTATATGTGGCCAGTGATTCATAAGAATATTGTTATCATAATTCAACCCTTTTTTTAGCGTTCCTTTAAATATGTCCACGAGTGTATAGTTGTCTACTTACTAGCTACATTTCTTCAGGTGTGTTGGTACTTAAGACTATTAGTTGAAAATGCTCTTAAATCTTTAGTTTTTAATTTAGATGTAAATACCGGCAACATAATCTCATAAAAATCAACCTCATCATTTGTCAGATTGTCTGGTCATTGATAGAATCAATATGAAATTGTAAGATCTGTGTAATAGTGACAAAGTACGTATGTAGCTACCATATTTTTTTACAACATTTACAGTTTTGTATTAAATTTCTTATATTTTTTACTTTCCTACGTTAGTTTGCTAATAAAATGTTTTTGTAATTTAAAATTATGTTTTATTCCTATTCTCATACCTTATAAACCAAATTGCACGTCTAAACATAAATTCATTCACAACTATTGTGCACACAATTAAATATTTTACTGAAAAGTTCGCACCCTTTGTGTAATAAGATCACAAGTCCAAAATGACTACTTTTCAAGAGAGAACATCTCTCTCGAAAAGTAGTAAAGATTCTATGAACGTAATATTCAGTCGATAACATCATTTTTCTAATTTTCATGTGACAAAAGCACTTTTGACGTATGGTCACATTATGTGTCTTTATTACTTCAAACGTACGAATTTATCTTTACAAATCGGCGACATGCAGTATTGTATAGTATATTTCCTTGGGTACAGTTCACCTCAATCATAACATAGAGCTTTTTTAAATAGTAAAGACAGGCTTGCGTTTATCTAAGGACAACTAAAATGTGGATATAGATGGTACCCGATCGATTAAACTTTTTGTTGTACTCTCCGACAATTTTTGGATCTGTATCTGGTAGTGAGATACTAGTAGTAAGTTGAATCCTGCATTTTGCACATAATTATCACTGTTTAGAGCGATCTATTTAAATAAATTTATTTTTGTATGAAAATAAAATGCGATGATTAAAAATTAAGAATCTGTACTACCTCAGCTCGAATTCAAACTTTTCCCGTACTAATACGGTTCATTTTGCTTCAGTCGAGCGGCATGGACATTGGCTTTATATCACAATTTATTTTTTTTACAAACGAAATTAAAGCCATTTGAAAAATATATATCGTATAGTATACGTGTTATATTAAGTTCAGTTGATATAAAAAATCCTTGGTTTATGTACAGTACCTATTGAATACAGCAGTTTTCCTGTAAAATTTCGAGGTAAGTTTGTGTTTTTTCGTGAAAATTTTTAGGAATTGTTTTTTCGCACCGTATAGTAATCAGTGTATATCCTCAATCGTACTGTATATTTTTTTCCAAAATGATTAATTCAACACTTTCACTGTTATGTGGAATCAACCAAAGCCATTTGGAGTATTATAGACTCTCAAAGATATTTAAGTTGCTCGCGAAATACACAAATAGACCCATAATTAAAATAATGAAAAGTTGCAATTGACATAATGAAAGTGGCAGCAAAACGATATGAGCGAATTGGAGGAATACTTAATACTGCCATAAACGGAATAAAATTACTTATATTTAAGTCTCTGGCAAGGTGTGATGGAAATTAGGAAGATCAGAAGTAAGTTCTATTAGCTACGGCAAAATACGCAAGAACAATTTTTTTATATAGCACTGGGAAATATACTGTACTTAAATATATTGCACCATACATTGTACTTATATAGAGAAACATGTCAGGAACACTACAGGTACATATACTTCCTGGAACTTTTGTATAAATATTTAAAAACAATGGTATTGTAGAGTCGTGCTGCAGCGAGAGGCCATACATCAACGAGACGGGGCATCCATCTTCTCGGAGGAAAACTCCTGTGTGGTAAAGACGGATGTTTTAATAAATTACTTATGTAACGTACATGTCTTTACTTTACATTGTAGAATGCGTTTTCATTTGATTTAGGCTCACGTTTCAATAAAAACAAAACATTTCTAAAGAAGTAGATCAGAATTTATTAAAATGGCCTGTTTAGGACTTTCGGTACGTGCCGACTGCCTCGGTGGTCCAACGGTTTGCACTGAGAGCGTTGGGTGAGGAGTCCTGGGTTCGATTTCCGATAAAACCTGTAAGGATTCGCGTTGAAAATTTAGATGCACTGTATGTAAAATAAATGAAATAAAATTGAACATAAAAAATGTATTGAAACATGAAAACAATTATGAATTAACAAAAGAAACGTTAAAAATACAATAAAATATAAACATATTGAACTAGAAAAGATTATGACGTCGTTGGCAGAACCAATATGCGGAAATGAACATTTCTTAATTGGTTCTTGTCTGAGAGTTCTGGGTATTGCGCCGGAGTGAATTCCGTTGCTTATTCGTACTTATGCGTACAGGGAATCCCTGACCAGATAACTGGTGTTTATAGTTATCTGTCCCATTTTTGTTATTACAATTACATTTACCTTACTACTGAACTCGTAATAACTATAAGTGTAGAGGAAAAGAATTTTGTTGCGATACGTTTTCTGTTGGAATAACAAATTTGTTATTGTTATTAAAACAATACAATTGTTTTTAACCACTTCAAAAAAAGGAGGAGGTTCTTAATTCGAGTATTTCTTTTTTGTAAATGTATGTTATTTGTGAACTGATTTTGATGATTCTTTTTTGTTGGAAATAGGGTACATCAGTAGTGGTCTCATTTTAAATTTGAAGAAAATATTCCACCTATAAGGGTGACAAACTAGGGGTTAATGACTTTTGAGGTCGGTTTTTTTGTACTCTGTACTAAGATTATTATGATACCTACTGACGGGGTGTGCACCTGGTTGTAAACGATACGCCTGTCCATAACAGTTGCAGTGCCACTCGGAGCACTGCACTGCGTCCGTCACCTTGAGACAT